TATATATATATATATTTGAAGGCTGCCACTACCGGAGCATACGGAGGACTTTTGCCTCAAAAGAAAGGATGATTCCCATTTGCATGACATGAACTCAAAAGTTAGAAGTTAAGGTGGGAATACTTTTGAGGTTGTCATGACCATTATGCGGATACACATAATTAGATAGTTTTTCTTTCTTTTTAATAAGAACGTATAAGTTCCTCTTATTTGGTTAGTCTTTATAGAAATGAAGTGAGATTTTTAGTGAGAACTTCATGTTTAAACTATATATAAAACTTTGATTTTTTATTAAAGAACATAAATAACACAACTTCTAGTTATATAACTCGTTTTTTGTGTGACAAGATTTTAAAGACTTTTTTATGCGGGTTTTTCAAAGGTGTAAAGTGAAATCATTTGAACGGTGAGTGATCTGGCGGAAAATATGATTGAAGTCAAGCAGAACATGATGAGGACAAATAATTCAAATTCATACATTCAAAGTGAATCTAATGGAGAAAGAATAATTGTGCGAGCTAGCTTTCAAACTTGACCTTTCCATGTATTTTCTAACATTTGTAAAATGTAAAAATTTTAGTTACATTGACTAGTACATAGATGGAAGAAAAGGTGACAATTAGACATGTAGGCCAGACTTTTGGATGGTTTAGCATAATTGCATTTTTGAATAATATTTCTAGATTTACATACAATAGATATTTAGTGTATTTTTTTCTCACGTGTGTCTCTAACTCAATGCACGGAGTCAGAAATTTGGTGTAAGAAAGACCGAAATTTCATTTTTAACTTATATATATATATATATATATATATATACTTTAACATCATATACTTTTTTTTATCTTCCTTTTTATTATATATCAATCGTTCATATATTTCTCTATTTTTTCTTTCCTAAGTATTAATTAATGATAATTTTTATCAATTTATTTGTAATATTTTTTTTTTATAAATTTTAGGGGAATAAAAATAAAATTTTTATAGAATTTTCATACATTTTTTAGAAAGAAAAAAAAAACCAAGAGAGGAGGGGACCATGGCTCCTCCAAGTACCCCATGTTGAAATGATGGAGATTGTTAGAGATGATAAGATATTTTGAAGACTCCTGAAAATTATTTTAGTTTTGATGATGTATTGTGTAGATGTTGCTTAAGCCTATGCAAAAAGCTATTGTATTGATTGTAATAGATGTAGGCTTGTGTGTGTGCTTGTTTATGTTTGCTGATGATGATGAATGCTTAATTCAAGAAATAATCAAACTCTTAAGAAACAAAGAAATTGATATTTTTAGTATTTTCATGTGTAAACATAAAGTAATTGTTAAGTCAGACAAAGCAATTCCCAGTAAGGTTTTGAATGAGACAAATATAATATATATTGTTATTTCTAACGAGTGGTTAGTGCTTCAAATAAACATAAGTACAAGCAAGATGAAGACTAGAGTATATGCACGTACCACTTTTTACACCAGAACCAAGACAAGAGTGAGATAAGCACCGGGTCTGATCAAAAGAAGGATATACATCGGACAAAGCTACCCACAAACTACAAACCTTGCATTACAAAAAATTCAATCTTTCCTTTCCAACACAGACACAACGCAAAATAAAGAACAGAGCACGAGCAAACAAAAGAAAGGGTAAAAAGACATCAGATGAAGAGATCAAACCCAGCACAAGAAGGAAAATAATGAAGCCTTAGATGATACAAGACTACAGACGATGGACAAAAGCACTCTAGACAAAGTTAAAAGTGTGCTCAGCTGACAAGATGAAATGAAAAGACAAAGTCTATCTCTTAGACAGAGACTCAAATATTCAGACGAAAATGAAGAATGTTGAATTATGTTTGATGTCTACTAAGTCACAACGAGAAGTATTGCTTATCATCCACACTCTCAGAAGAACACATGAAGTCATCAAAAATAGAAGAGAGAAGATAAAAATGGTCTAGTGCTTATTCACAAGTCAAAGCTGCGTGTGTTAGAACAAGTACACCTACCAATCAGTAAAAGACAACACCTCTGCAGCTACAATGCTGGGAAAGTACAGATATGTCTAAGTTATGATTGAAGTTAGACATCGAAGCAAACAAATGGTACAAAAGACTTCACATAACATAGATTCAGTGAGCAAACATTTAATGCAAGATCAAATGCATTAAATACAAGATCTACGAAGCTTGGACACACTAAAACGAGAAAAATCAGATGATGGGTGGTCAAGCATCAAGATCGGGTCTGATATAAAACATAAGAACATTCAACAAACACTAGACGAGGCATACTACAAGTCAAAGCCTTGAAGCATCAGATGAAAAGCCAAAACAGGGCTACATTTGAAACAAGACAAAGATGGGTTAAACATGGGATGAAGCCAGATGGTCAACTCATATAAAAGAACAGTCAAGGCAAGGCACATCATGAGAATCAAACGAACCAAGCTAACTGAATAGACAAAGTATAATGTATGTGCCAGACGACTACAAGTCTAATATCAAACGAAGGTGTGTCAAGGACAATCTCCAATGCAACATAAGAAAACAAGCATAAGTCAATGAATAGAAGAAAGTCAACTACGCATAAGACGATGGATAGCACAGGCCGAGAGATATTTTAGACAAAAGCAAAGTTTGTACATCTATAGTGTTGACCAGATCGAAAGGAAGTCAAAACATTAAACTCAAATGCGCACACAAAAAATCATAGATTGAGATGCATAGGGCTAATAGACGTAGACGAACATTACCACGCAAAGCACTTAAAGAATCAAGTCTCAAAGGAAAAATTAAGGCATTGTCTACGATAACTTAAATGCTCTCAACAGGTTAGTTTGATGAAAGAAGAAGAAGAAAAACACGCAAAAGCAAGAGCATGCATGTGTCAGAAAAAGTACATCATTTTTTCAGATAAGGACAACATTCTAAGCTACGCGACCGGAAAAGGATAAAAAG